CAGCTGTCTCCTGATGCCTTTTTATAACTCCCTCCTGTGCCTGAAGTGTTACTTGGCAATAAATGTTCAATTGACATTTTCCTGCACAAAATTTAATTACCTATTTTCTCCATTGTAAAAAGAGAAAGACTGGGAAAACATCTACTCAGTCTCAAAGTGTGTTCAACCCCTCAGTGGTTTTGTAATTAACTTAAACTTTTTAAACCTTAATGTATTTTTCAAAAGGAGAAACAGTGTGAATTCTAATAGTAGTAGCAAACAATCGTCTACAGGCACTTCTAAAACCTTTCATCAAAGCATGGCAAGGCTCTTTATCTAAAGTTTATTCATAATTCTCTTAAGAGAATGCTATAAGAGGTGCTATAAGAAATCACATCAGAAAGGTACCACAATTAAAAACAACCACTTTTAAGATGAAATGCCACCATGTTTCTATGGTAATTTCAGAGAAAGTAAACATGCTAACTGAAGTTGCTGGGGTAATAAACCATATCCATCTAAGAGGTTTAATGCTTTGTACACAACTGAATGACAGGAGAAGAACCCCAACTTTTACTATAAGCGGTACCATGAGTGTGCCCAGACGGTACCCCTTATAGTAAAAGTTGGCCAGCTCCTCTGCACAATCAGGGGTTTTTCCAAAATCTGTCCGTAATTTGCTTCTGTGGGATTTTTAACATGTATTTATGCAGGGAAAAGAAGTTCATAAATGCCGATTAATTCCCAGGTCATTCTACAAAGCCTGTATAATTCATAGAGTGACTAACATTTTTAAGTAACTTTTCAATCACATTTAATTTCCCTTCATAACCACTTCTATTTTTTTTATAAAATGTTTTCAGTGCCCCAAATGAAGATCTCCTATTTCCTCACTCCCGTAGAATAACACATATTCCTAGGCCCCGGCTATTATTTCCCTCTGTACATCAGCCTAAAAAGAGAATACAAGCCTTCACAAACTTCACTGTCTGCTTGGGCGTAGGGGAAGTGAGCCTGGTGTGAAACAACAGGTGTGAGCTCCGTATCAACAGCAAACAAACACTGCTAAACTGCTCTGCCTATTCACATGCAGCACAGGCCTAACTAAATGGCCAAAGACAGGAGAGGCTATAATCCCTTTCTAGAGTTATCTAGCTCTACGTGTTCTGAATTGGGAGTTTAAGGGCAGAGAAAGGACGATTTACTCCAAAAGCCTTAGGACCCAAGATTCATAGTGTTTTGCATTCTCTTATGTGTTTGGGTTGTTCCTAACCTAAAAACTGTTCATGGATTGCAGACTTCCTGTATCTGAGAGCCAGCATAAGAACACAAACTCTGGAGTTAAGCAATGGTGGCTTTGAAGCCTAACTCCATATTTTAATAGTTGGTCTCTGCACTTCCTTTCTCTACTTTAGAGGGTTTCCTGTGCGGATTAAGCAATGAAATAAATGGATGAAAGTGCCTAGCTTATTATCCTAGTGGAATCATAGTAGGAGGCACTTAGGTGAATTTCATTGCCTTGCCCCTCTGAAGAGAACCATAATTTTGATATGAGTGAGTTGGTACACAAGGTATATCCTTGAGGCTGCACCTCTGAAACCCACTACACTAGCCCACAATGAACATGAGACTCCCCATGATACAAAATAATGAGACACAAAAAAAACCCCAAGCTAATCCTGACTCCAGCTGCTTCAGTAAGGGTCCCAGCCCCTCATTTCCAACACTAGTTTCATCCTATATACCCATGTCCACGAGTTCCAAGTGACAATTTCTATCCTTCTTTGCCTAGAGAATCATACTTAAGTAGAATGAAAAGGAGATGGATAAAAGTAGAACTTATCAATACATTACACATAATGGAAGAAAAATCAACTGCTACTTTCAAAACGAGTATGTGCCTCAGTTTCCACTACCTAGCATAGGGAGTAAGCTATGCTGCTTCTTATTTCCAGACTATTGCAAAGTTAAAGAGCTATAAACTATGATCTAAAATGGTAAATATTATAAGCATAATATCAAGTACCACATAGATAAGTGGTCTCATTTCTTTGAAATACATTTAAATACAGACTAGTAAATAACTATCACATATATCAATCCTGCAAGTCATTTCAAACCACAAGTCATCAAAAAGAAACTAAGATGAACTCGATGCATTATTGGGGTATATAATACTGCACTTACCAAAAAACATGCAGCATTTATCAATGGCCATGCTATTGAAATAATCACATAGGAAAACAGGAAAAAAGACAGTTAAGTAGAACCTAGTTTAATTCTCACAGCAGATTGATTTAAACCTAGGACTGGTTATATAGAGGAAGAAACACAATGACAGTAGAAAGAATTTCTGAAGATGTGTATAGACAAATGTTGTCATTGTTTTCATCAGCTCTGAAGGAAATTGTTTTCTCAACTAAACACATGTTTTCACAAATTAAGGAGGGTAAATTTACTGAAAACATTCCTTTTATTAATATACAAGACAGTCCTTTTTTTGGCAGGATAAAGGAATGCACTATTCTGAAACAATACCCTACATTGAGCTGAAAAGATTTAATATTTGATGATTCACAATCTTTCAGTGGCTCAGAGTTATGATCATGAATATCAATTATTGTTGCACTATGAGTATTTGGAACAGCATTTAATATTTTGACTAGTATAAAGTGTGCTAAAGCCTTTCTTTTGTGTATGTTTAAATGCCAAATTTAAAAAAAAAAGCACCTTTGGCAAAACTGTGAAGAAAGCATTTTCTCTCGATATAGAACATGTTCTACATATTTCTTAAATGATCTAGACCTTTTGTAGAAACTCTCATTCTAAAGTAAACAAACCATGGGACAGCAGATTAAAGATGTCAACAGAAAGGCTCTTGATCTCATAGAGGGAGTGGAAGGTATCCCACCACCAGTCTCTCTGCCCCCCCCCACCACAAGGAAGGAAGACCACTGGGGACAGGCCTCAGTGACTACTGCCCAATTTCAGGATATCCTTCAAGATTAATTGATTCATCACAACGACCTCAGACAACCTTCTAGGCATCAAAAATATTTGAAGCTACAAGGCCTATAAAGCTAGTCAGATTGTGTGTATCAGGAGCTTCAGTATTTGATCATAGATACATATAAGTATGTATGCTTCCATATTGGTCTTCATGGAACATTTTAGAAATACATCAGTGTTAACAGAATTGAAAGTAGACGACGTAACTGGGAGTGTGAGGTGCCTGGGAGTCTTCCCTTCACACTCCTCATAACATCTGAACTTTTGCTTTTTCAATAAAACCTAATGTAAAATAGTAATTTATTTTATTTTCCAGTATCTTTCATTATAAAGGCCACTTTCTAAATGTTTATTTAATTTACTATTAAATAGGGGAAAGACCAAATTGGCAGTCTATAGTCTTCCTTCTTTTTTTGTCACAAAAAGAAAAATAAAAGCAGCACCATTTATTTTATTTAAAATAAAAGAGGCACCATTACTCAACAACAATTATTCTGAGAATATGCCAACACAGTACAATTTAGAAGTAGAAAACTTAGTTGCAAGAATTTGTATATTACTTTTATTTTTTTACAGCATCATAGAATCCACAGCTCTTTACTATTATATTTTTAAACTATCTTGCAGTGCCTGATTCATACACACAGGACCACAGGTAACATCAATGTTTCTCAATAGTGGGATGATTTTTGCATTCCAAAACAATATGCTTTCTGACCTGTGGGTTTAAAAAGTATAGTAATTTCCCCTTTATTCAAATTCGCACTTATAATAGAACACTTCTTTTTGTATAATTGAAAAGCCACAAAATAATAGAAACTAGTACAAAGTCACTTGTAATTACCATCCTCTCTCTTAATATAGAAATCCCTCCATTGACTTGAAACTGCCATGTGTCAGCCTTGGGAAAAAGACCATATTAGGAACTAGGTGGATATACTAAGGGTGCAGTGCCATCCACACTGGCGCTGGGAGGTGGGGGAAAGACATGCATTACGTAGGGGTTACACAGCTTAACCCTGAGCAGGGGTTTTGAATTTATCAGCTTACTCAGTCAATTGAACAGTAAGTAGTTTCAAGTCTATCTTTCACTGTCACTACTGGGAGGTGTGCGTGTATGTACGTATAGTTTCATACTGACAACTCCACCAAAATCAATTTTAATCTCATATGCACATAATTACTCCCATACATTTATGCTGAGGGCTTTTCTTGACCCTGTGCAAGGGTTCTTATCCCAAAGAACCTTACTCCAAAGTCATGCACACAAAAGGTGAAATCTCGGAGGAAACAAGCCCCAAGTGGAAGGAAGACTGAAAGAGATAGGGGAGAAAAGAGGTTTGCAAATTCCTTCCTAAAGGGATGGGCAGAAATCCTGTGGGGTGGTTGGGGGTCAGTAAGCATTTTCCCTGAATGCAGTGGTAACCGCAGGGATGGTGGTAACCATAATGTTTGGGAAATTGATTGCTTTCTAGTTGGGCTTTCCGCAGCGCAAAAACTCTGGGCTCTTCCATCACTCTTTACTGTACTGCACGGTCCACTGAAAACAGTGCCTACCTGCCCAGGAACTTGACGCATCTTGGTATTTCGGGACCGTTTGAGTCTAGAGGGGATTTCTTTTTCCACTTGAGAGTAAGCTGAGCATTTCCTTTGCTGTATGGGGAAAGCTAACCCTTCTCTGCAGAGCGGTGCACAACCATCCCCTGAGTCCTCCCCTCCTCCTTCCATCAGCGGTTTAGTGAAGCTTGCAGAGAAAACGAGGGAAAGCATCCATCAAAACACAAAGACGCAGAGCGGAACTTTTCCTCTGCTGTCACGGGGGAGGGAAAGAAAGTCACTTCTGCTTCTCATGGCCGAGAGCCGAGTCTGGGAACCGCCAGACGAGAAAGGAAGGTTTGTCAGTAAAGAAGGTGGAAGAAAACAATGCCTCGGGACACAGCACATCCTGCCCGGGTCCCCGACCCAACCCGCACCTACACCCAACGCTCCTGGAGTGGCTCCGCTCCGCTTACCTTGATGATGCTGCTGCGCCGGGGGGTCGCCTTTGCAGCCTCCAGGAGGCCTGCCTCGCTGTCCGCTGGGGCCCCAGGGGCTCCTGGCAGCGCGACCCCGCTGCGACGGTCCCGCATCCTTCCCCCAGCAGCGGCCGCCGCGCCGTCCCCAGCAGCATCTGGGCCCACTCGGGGGTCGTCTTCGCCCCCGGCCGCGTCGGGCGGCGCCGAACCCTCCCTGCTGGCCGCGCCCTCGGCCATGGCCCCGCGCGTTTCGGGCTCCCGGGGGAAAGACGGGACGCCCGCAGCAGCGTGCAGCCACTCGGCGCGGGTGCGCTTGTGCACCGGGAGGCGGCTCCGCCAGACTTTGTTTCACCTCTCCGCGGCGGCGGTGGCTGCGGCGGCGGCGGCGGCAACTTTCTGGTGAGGAGACATCGCTCGAGCAGAAACGTCCTCAGGCTTTGGTGCAGGAGGGTAGCAGCCCGGCGGGGGACGGTGGCGGGAGTGGAGAGGAGATGTGAGCGGGAGGGAGGAGAAGCGAAAAAAGAGAGGGAGGTATCCGAAATGTGATGCAAACGCCCTCTCTACGCCAGACAAAAGGCACCGGGCGCCCAGCCAGGCGGCCTCGGGAGCCCGGACGCGCGCAGCCCGAGGGGGCCCGGAGCTGGGCGACTGCGGCCAGGCGCACCCGCCACCTGCCCCCGGACTGCAGCGCCTCGGCCCCAGGAAGTGCGGCGGCGGCGGCCTCCACTCGGTTCTGTTGTGACACGGAGGGAGACTTGTTTTGACAGCCCGTGGGGATTGGCAGGCGTCTGGGCCTCTTAGGAGCCTGCCTCGCCGAGGGGGGGTCTGCCCGACCAATCCTCACTGCGGAGGGGTGTGTCCGAGCGCGAAGAATGGAATGTGTTCCGTAACTGGGAGCCGGCCCCGCGGGGCTCGTGTACTCGGCGGGTGTACGCGCTCTTGTGCGCACCCGCACGCGCTCCCCGTAGATTTTAGGAAGTTTAGATTTGCGAAACAAGCCTGAAGGCGCAACAGAATCCAAGGTGGTGGGAGGGGGTCGGGGGAAGGAAACATTCTTCTGCAAAACAAAGCCTTTTGAAGGAAAGGGGGTTGTTGAGTATTAATGTCAAAGGTTTGGGGTGCTGGAGTGAAGCTTCACAGGGTCAGGTGTTAATTGCAGGCTCTCAGGCCGCTCCTTAGAAGTCAAGTTCAAGGAGACATAAACCAGGGGTTACTGAGATCCTGGAGTTCCGTAATTTGCTTAAGCATCCAGGAAAGGATTCTAGTTCGCTCTGCGATGTGAATAAATATGACAAAGAAGAGGGGCTATATATAAAAGGAAATTGAACCAACCCAATTTCTCTGAAGAGTGACTCCTAACAGCACAGATATGACACGAGTCAAATGAGCGCAGGTGGGGTGAGGAGTTTAGTCTCTATCCTAAATCATTTCTCTTTGACAATGGTGCAACCTCCTTTCTCTAGATAATCCTATATATACAAACAAACACATTTCGTTTATTTCCAGTAAGGTGGTGACCAAGAGGAGAGATACCTTTGGATGATGCATTAAGTTACTGAAATTAAGCACAAAATGTTCAGATGCAAACAATGACTCTAAAGGTTCCTTGGTTGGACAAAGATTTGGCATTTTAATTTAAAGCCTTTTTTGTATTCGAGTTTACATTTAAACCTCACTTTTAACATTAAGCTTTGTGTCTTAATTATTAATTATTTAATTATTTGAGGTTTTTCCTTATTCCTCACTCGAGCCACGAGCATGAAAGATTCCCCAACCTTCTAGACCATGAGTTTTGTTAGAATCTCAGAATCTGAGAGATGCATGTCATCTAGGACAGCCCTTTTATTTGACAGATGAGATGAAAGCCCAGGGAGTCTTGTCTACTAGTTAGTGCAGGAACTGAAATTAGAATTTGCCACCCAATTCCTCCAGTAATCTCTTCCTTACTTTATCTGGCTCCTCTTGGGCTGTAACCAGCCAGAATTGCATGGGGCCCTTGGGAGGTGTCAGATTTGACATTTACCAACCACTAGGGAAGAGGGAGCAGGCTTTATTTTACCTTCCCTTTAAATTTAAATGCAGCCCAATAATGAATGCACTGTGATTAAATGGTGATCTCTGGTTTTAAAACCAACACCACCCTCTAGTGAGATTCTGAGAACTGCATCCATGTAACTGCAAATGCTTTTTCCCCCCTAATAAAAGACAGCAGGGGTAACTCAATGAAAGTTTCTTTTTCAACCTGCCTGCCTTTACAGCCCACAAACTAGATGAAAGAAATAAAAACATGCCCAGACTTAAAACAACCGCACAAGTCTTTCATCTCTATTAATTCAGGGAATTCCCATCTATGTTATAAAGGAAATACTTTTACTTGCCTTCCTCACAAATATAATTTTATACTTTAGGCTATCTTTTTTTCTTTGCTATTCAGCTTTGCTACATTTGACTTTCTTTTATAGTTGCTGTCAGTGCTTCATTTCTCTTTGTTACTCTAATAAAAATTCCATTCTAGGGTTGTCCCTTGATAAATATACAACTGCCTTCATCTCACTTGTTATTTTGTTCTAAGACATAAATATCATTTGTAAATATTTCCCAAGTTTGTGTACCATTATGATAATAATTTATTTTATAAGTATTAAAATTAGCATTACTTTATTCACATTTAAGGTCAGTGGTCTTCAAAAGAAAGAGGCCAGAAAGTACAGCATATAATTTACAAAATGTTTTGTTTCAGCTAGACATTGTCCAGTTGGACTCATCTTTTATTCCCCTCTGCATCTTTTCCTCTCACTCTCATATGAAAGCAAATACATATTCTTTCTCCCTCTCTCTCTCTCTCACACACACATACACCCAGCCCCTCCCCTCTAACCCCTCTGAATCCTTTGCTCTGAGTATGGGCTCATAAAGGTTGCTGTCTACACTATTCTGCTTTGAGAAAATGTTTAGGCCCTAATCTAACAATTCTTTCATGTTGTCTTCTAGCACAAGCTCTGAAGGCTTTTCCTTGCTTACAATTACCGAAAAAAAGACCAAAACATACAACAACCCTCCTGTGTACCTGCTCCTACCCAGGAACAGATTCTGCTCTGGAGCCTCACTTCAAAGACTGAGTGAAGGGACCAGACAAATTTGGTTAAGCAGGCAACCAGGGGCACATTCTTACCTCTCCATTAATAGCATGTTTTTCTAAATAACTGTCACCTATAATTCCTGCCTCCCAATCTTTCACAAAGTCACAGTGGCAATCACTAGATTGGCAGATTAGAATTTGGGGTCAAATGAGGGTTGGGGAGGTGAGATGTGAATAAGAGTAACAAACAGCCTTCTCTGACCACAAATCTCACGTTGCCCCGACAGGTCCCTACACATGCCATGTAGCACTTACAGTGTTCTGTTTTGTTGTCTCACAGGATTTTGCTACTGTGAATAAACTATCCTGTTCAGGGAATTGTTTACTTAAATATTATGTCTTACTGACCCCCTATCTTTGCCTCCTGAAATGTAGAATAGAATCTCCACAAAGACCTTGTGATCTGTATAATGTAATCTGCATAAAGACCTTGTTTATTTTATTCATTGCTCTATCTCTGACCCCTAAAACCATGCAAGTATATCTGGCACAGAGTAGGTGCTTGATAAATATTTGTGAATGAAGGACCTTTACAGTTCTGCAACTAAATAAAATAATCTCTCTGACAAAAAAAAAAAAAACAAAAAACAAAAACTGGCTCTGTCACTGCCCATACAATAGGACTTCTCATCCCAAGGATCCTAGAAATCCGTTTTAGAGTAGAATCAGAGCAGATCTAGAGCAAGCAGTTGCAAAACTAGAAGAAAGGCACTTATAAATTGGAGTTATACTAAAAGACAACTGATAGGAACCAAGCAAAGTCAAGCAAGCCTGAAAATATCCAGCTCAGACTCAAGAATCTGCTATGCCAATGTAGTCTTTCCAGCTAAGGGAAGGGATTCCAGAGCCCTGGGCCTGAGAAAAATCCAGTGAAAATATTAAGACTTTCCATATGCTAACAGGAAATCACAGTAGCAGAAGAGAACTATTAATATCTTTTTGATAACTCTTTTCTATGTACTAGATAATCCTCTATGAAGCATTCTGATCTCCACTTTACAGATAAGGAAACTAAGGATCAAAAGGTCAAGTAGTTTGCCTGAAGTTAGAGCCAATTGGGAAGTAAGGAAACCAGGATTAGAGTCCAAGTCGGTGACTTCAAAGCCTGCTTTCTTCTGATACACAAAACTCTCATAAGACGAAAATCTAGTAACTGTCCTGGAGAATGAAGAACTACTCCTTAAGATCTGGGATCAGTCACATTAGCCATAGCAATCTCTTCTCTTAACATCAGCATTACCTCTGTGTCATCAACACAGACTATGAGTATGACTAATTCATGCGTGTGTGAGGAAGCACATTTATCATCTCATTCACATATGCATAAGAAAAAAAATATTTTGATATTTAAGAGCCAGTTCTCCTGATAACTTCAAACAAAAAACATGAAGACGATATACAGCATTTCCAACTGAGTTACATGTATTTTTACTTCCAGCCATAGCCCTGCCCAATACATATTGTAATTATTATGATTTGCTAGCTGAAGAAAATAAAATTTGGCTAGGCCAGATGGCTCACACTCTGGGAGGCTGAGGCAAGAGGATCGGTTGAAGCCAGGAGTTTGAGACCAGCCTAAGCAAAAGTGAGACCTCTGTCTCTAAAAACAAATAGAAAAATTAGCCAGACATGGTGGTGCATGCCTGTAGTCCCAGATACTCAGGAGGCTGAGGCAGGAGGACTACTTGAGGTAAGGAGTTTGAGATTGCCATGAGTCCAATGATGCCACTGCCCTAAAGCCTAGGAAACAGAGCAAGACTCTGTCTCAAAAAAAAAATTGTAGGATAAATTTTAGGTAATGTACATATTATAGTAAACAAATACAAAACCAATAAAAGATAAACAAAATTTAAATATGCCCTCTTTAGAAAATTCAAGTTTTTTTCTTGTGTATTCCTTTGTCACTTATATTAAGAATTAAGAAATTTCAGTATATAACTATTATAATAGTGACATATAACTATAAAAATCCATTTTACTCCATGATAATAGTCCTATAAAAATGAGAAGCACAAATTTCTTATAATAGGTCCAGGTTCCCAGTTTAATAAATTTTCAAAGTACTGAAAGGTCATACTTTAATAAATTTTCAAAGTACTGAAAGGCCATTTAAGAAGTCTTTAATTACAGCCAACATTCTTCCACGTCTGGCAACTGCCCCTTCTCTCCGATTTACTACTGCTGAACTAGAATGTCCAGGACTCTGTCCTCCTCAGCAATTACCCCATGTAGACCCCAGGGCCAAAATACACTGTCAGGAACCCCAGGTCAATCATCCAGGAACAGTCTGTATGTGTAGGGCAAATGTTTTCTAAAAACAGACAGTCAACGTCAATTCATTCTCTCTGTTAATTACTTTGACATGGATCCTAGAGTTGGAGCTCATGTCATGGTTACGTGCCTCACTGATGAGGAAGCCAAAGGCATTCATGAAAAGTACCACGGAAATGGCATTAATACAGGCCCTGTGAAGACTCATTTCTCTTTTA